ATCGGTGCCTGAGCTCGGTACGGGGTGTGGAAGAGAAGGCACGGGCGGGAGAACCCTTCCCGCTGGTGCTGGGGAAGGTGTTCCGCTTCGCTGTGCTCCGCCCCGCGCGTTCCCGCCAAGCCCCTAGGTCGCATGAGGGGCGATCGACTGAGTTCGGACCGCCGACCCGGGGGGCGGGTGTTTGTGAAATTTTTATTTCTTCAAAGCAGTAGGTAATAATGCTTTTTGAAAGTTATGTGTAGTATGTGTAATACAGTGGGGTACGATCCATGGATTAGAGTGGAATTTCAAGATTCTTTCAGTTCACCTGCTTAGTTATTTGCTGTCTCAAGACACAACTCATTGCTGTTTTGATACCCAGGTGGACTATTGAAGCATCGCAGTACAAAATATGAGGTGCAAACCACAGGTGACTGTCGAGCTCAGTATTTCAGTATGTTGCAGAGACAGGAAATTAGAAAATGCTAAACTGGTGTGTGCTAATTTGCCATGCAGGACTACCAGGCAGGTAACCAAAATAAAGCTGAATCAGGAAGCTATTGAGCTTGTGTCATGCAATCAAAATATCAGAGATTTTATCTATAAATAGAAACCCAGGGATCGTCCTTTACTGCATTTAGCAAAGAGCTGGAATATCCCACATTTTTTTCTAAGCCTTTTCTCTTGCTGTTATGGCTGTTTATTTTTCTGCAAGCATTAGTCTGTTAAATATTATAAGCACAAATGAGATTTTAAATGCCCTGGAACACAAAAAGTGTTTCATCTTGGACTGGCAGTAGAAGCCACTGATAGAAGAACTGAAGCATAGATTCGGTTTTGCAGATTGAAATGAAATTGCTCTGGAGTTTCTTGCTCTGGGTGACAAGAACAATCAGTGATAAAAGCATCTAATGGAATTTCTGAGCAGTGAAAGTAGTAGCCTTATTTGTGGTAGTATCGTTAGTATGCATGACCAGTGTTGATGGAGGAGAGACATGAAGGCTTCTGAGAGCTTCCATAAGGTTCGTTTAATTATAGCCTGGTCTGCATCAGAGTGCCAGGGGGGATGTGGATTCCTTTGAGGTGTGCTTTTAGGAAGCCCCAGAACATCTTGTCATGACAGCTTCTTCCTGCATGCTCATTATTTCTGTGTATGTGGTGTTCTATTGATCCTTCTAGACATCTGTTCTACAGCATGCTTTTTTCTTTTCTGACTTTTCAGACAGTTATGTAGGCATTCTAGAACTGTCAATCTTGAGAACAGAATAAGGAAACATCTGCTCTCTTCAACATCAGCTTTATCAAAAATAACCTATGATTATTATATAACAATCTTTTCCATATTGTTACCTGCATAGTGGAATAACTGGAGAACTTTGCGTGATTCAGGTTAAACTGAACACTTGAAGAGAAAGGTGTATAAGGAATTTACTGTTTTTACATGATTGCCATTTTTCTTGTGTGCTAGACCTTAGGTATTACCTTTGCTCGTTTCAGGACTGCTTCTGAATCACAGTCCAGAAAGAAGAAACAATCGTGTTGATCTAGGTTGAACATTTGTCTCTAAGGTTAAGAATAAAGCCATGCCGGTGCTTTCGGAAGACTCAGGTAAATAATCTGCGTGCTTTCCAACAGACCAGTGATGGAAATTTTAGTGTGTGCGTTTCACACAGACAACAAATTCAAATTGCAATTAAGTAAAATTAAGGTTGTTTAACTATCTTTTTTTTTTTTATGCATTTACCTAAAAGAATACAAAGAAAGTGGAGTATAAAAGGTGGAAATGAATATATATAGTCAGATGTTTCAGGAAACACCTAGTTTCATAAGAACGCTAGAGCCTCTGGATATATGCTGGTAGACAGGGACCTATGGACAAACTTAGAACTCTGAGTAAAACACTGGCGTCTGTGAATGCTCATTAAAGATCAGCCCTTTTGTCTCTGCTGCTTGCTGTGCCACTTGTTAATATTTTATGAATAGTTTTTTGGTAAGCTTTGTTAGTATTCTTCCATTTGACTTAAAACAGTCATTCTGTTCAAGGCTTGCTAACCAGCTTCTCCAGTATGCAGTCAAGGGTGAAGTCATATAAGCTAATGATACTGAGTTTTAAAGCAGAAGTCAGAGTTTGAGTCTCCCGGATCCAAATGCACTCTGAAGTTCATAGAGAGAACAGCCAAAAGAGTGGACTTTAACCCCCATCCCCTTTCTTTGTTTTTTGTTTCTACAGTCATGGTCCACCAAAGAAAACTTAACTTATATCTGGCTCTGTGCATTGCAAAATGGGGATATTGATATTTAAATGCTTTTTAGCAAACTTGCCAAAAGTGTTGCTTCCACTGCAGTGGAAATCTACACCAGTCCTTTCCTCTTCTGGTCAAACCTGACTTCTAACAGGTGCCTCAGAGGCAGCAAAGGCAGGGTAACATTTGTAGTAAGCAAAGCTGCTCAGGAAATAGAGTTGGTAGCTATACAGCAAAGGAGGCATTTAAGTCATTTTGCAAGTCCACTGCAGCACTGTAATAACAGAGTTTGTTACAGGGCTAGCTTTTCTAGAGCCAGAGGAATTAACATAAGGGGGGAGAAGTTCAAAAGTAATGCCTTAAAAATTATACATTGCTTTGGTAGCTTTTGCCTTAATGTGTTATATCTTCAGCTGTGTTTGTATGTAACAAGGGAGCATTACAAAATGAATGGAAAATAAGCACAAATCTCTCTGTGAACTTAATCATCAAGATGGTACCCAGGTACCAGAGATGATGTTAAACCTGTAATAGAAAGTTTTGTGAGACATGATATCTACAAAGTTTTTTTTTTTCTATTCTGAATTTAAATATAGGATTGCATGAAACTTTGGCCCTTTTGACATCTCAGCTAAGACCAGATTCAAACCATAGAGAGGAAATAGGATTCCTTAGGGATGTCTTCAGTGAAAAGAGTCTCAGCTACCTGATGAAGGTAAATCATTTATCAACATACATTTTCCTTACAGGTTACTTATTCTTTGTTCCTTTGATTTATCAACCATATAATTTGCCAAAGCTTTTTTGTTTGTAGAATTCCATCCTGACCAAAGCATATATTTAAGCACAAACGTTAAGATCATTTGTTGACAGTGAACATATTTTGTTCAGGAAAGCATTTCCATCTTGATTGCGTGCCCTGTAGCTAAAAAGTAGTGTGAAATGGCTTCAGTTTTTTTTTTCCTTAGGCTGTTGAAGTCTTAACAGATTTTCTGGCTGTGACCAAAAAGGAAACTAAAATACTCCAAAACAAAAATAACCCAAAGAGGACTTCTTTTTCTGACATTTATCTCAGAAAAACTATATTCTGTAAATATAAGAATACTCCAGTGTAAATCTATTTAGGAAGCTTTCTGTCTCTCTGTAGTAATATACCTGATTAATTTTTTTCAGATTCATGAAAAACTCCGTCACTATGAAAGACAGAGCCCAACTCCTGTTTTACATAGTGCAGCAGGATTAGCTGAAGATGTGAGTAAAAATTCCTGTCTCCTTATTTTTCTATTAAAGTCTGCTTTTCTAACAAATCAAACGTATGCACTTGTGCTACATGTGTACGTTTTTCTCGTCTTCCACAACTGTCTTTGGAATCTGTTGGCAAGTTTCATTCATGATTGATAAAGGAGACGAGGGCTTAAAAATGTCATGTCATTAAGTGTCCAGTGAAGACAGGCACAGGCAGGTAGAACAGAAGGATTAGATTAATGGCCTTCAGAAGCGAGAGGCTGCAAAAAGCATTCTGTCCTTTCTTGACGATAGACCATTCCAGCTAAGCGTTCAGACTTAAGGATTTAAAGCCATTATAGCCCAAAATCATTGGTGTTCACATAGAATGAGTTGGGTTGGAAGGGACTTTGAAAGATCATGTAGTCTGACTGCCCTGCTATGGGCAGGGCCCCCATGCACTAGATGAGGTTGCCCAGAGCCCTATCCAACCCGAATTTGAACATTTCCACTGGTGGGGCATCCACAACTTCCTTTGGGCAACCTGTTCCAGCATCTCACCACCCTTATCAAAAAAATTAAATTCTTCCTTATATTCAGTGTCAATCCTGCCCTCTCTCAGTTTAAAACTGCTGCTCCTTGTCCTGTTACTATACGCCTTGGTAAAAAGATTTTCTACATCTTTCCTTTAACCTGCCTTTATATTATTTCAATGCAGCAGTAAGGTCTCCGTAAAACTTTTTCTTCTCCAGACTGAACAGCCCCAACTCTCTTAGCCTTTCTTCATAGGAGAGGTGTTCCAGCCCTTGGATCATTTTCATGGCCCTCCTCTGGATGCACTCTAACAGGTCCATGTCTGTTTTGTACTGGGGCCCCTGGGACTGGATGCAGTAATGCAGGTAGGGGGGATCTCAACGAGAATGGAGTAAAGGGGGAGGCGAATCGCATCCCTTGACCTGCTGGCTGTGCTTCTTTGTGCAGTTTGAGATACAATTGGCTTTCTGGGCTGCAAGCACACACTGCATATCTGATTTTTCATCCAGTAGTATCCCCAAGTCCTTCTCTGCAAGGCTGCTCTCAATCAATTCATCCATCAGTCTGTTCACAGAGCAAAGTTATATCTTGAATCTGTTTGCAATGTGCCATATGCCTGGAAAAGTTATATTTATACTGCCTTCAAGAGCTCTTTACAAGTGGCATGTGGGTGTTTCCTTCCAAAGCATGGTGAAGGGCTGTGGAAGGTTTGAGAGCTAGAATTCCTCCCTTTGCACAGCCAGGAGACCCCACTGCCCCATCTTAACCTGCAGCACATCTGCTCTCCCCTTTCCCACAAATAGCCTACCGCCTCCGTAAAAGTTTTGGTGCTGCTGCCTATCAAGTTGTATAGTCCTGTATAAAACTACTCCTCTGCTCTTTAGAAGATAATTTTGTACAACTTCCATATCTAGAACCGCTGACAGGGAAAGGAAATATCTCTTAGCTCAATCACTTCTGCCTTCCTCCTCCCTCCAACCCTTCTCTCTACCCATACATTAGTTCTCTAATCTTCTCTTTGGAAGGCCTGAGACTCCAGGGCGTATTTTGCTATCCAAGCTTTGCAGGGAAACAAGGCGACTTCTGCACGCAGATAATGCTACCTGGCTACAGAGGGTTAGATTCCATCATAAGTATAAGCACAAGAATGTTGTTTCACATATCACTTTCAGATTCCAGATAAAATTTACAGTTTTAGAGCTTGTTCATGAAATTATATTCCTCAAATCACTCTTAAAAGTTATATTTAGAAGCTAGGATCCTATTTTCTGAGGACCTCTTCCTGCACTATCTAATAAAATTTAAAGAGATGAAGAGGCTTTCTTTTAGGATTCATGCACTGTTGGGCAGGGTTTGTTTTGGTCTGTGCATGATACTTTGAAGGATGACAGGAGTTAGCAAACACTTACCAGAAATCTTCACTTGCAAATACGTTGTCTGGTTTGGTGGACTCCTTTTATTTTGAGGTTGTCAATTTTTATTTTAAAGGTAATAGAAGAATTGCAGACTGCACCAGTGAATAATGAAGAAAAAGAGCTACTTCAGTTGTTGTCAACACCACATCTCAGGGTAAAAAAAAAAAAAAACAGAGACTTTAAAAGAAATTCCTTTGCAGAATTTCAGTGGAATGTTTTGTAGTGGAAAAGTTACACTGGAGAGTCCCTAAGAGAAAGGAAAAACCTCCTACAAACTATAGTTCTATTCCATTGTGATTTCCTGCATGGTCTTTAGGATGGGAAGGGGGTTGAGAAGACAAGGTGTAGGCCCTTTATGCATCATGTGCCATGTTATCTTCTTTCTCTGCTTTCATATTTTCTGAGGGAGAAGGAAAGAAAATTATGCTTTTGCTTTCCATAGTCCACCTCCATTCTGTAAGTTTATTTAGACTCAGCTTTGGTTTTGCCTAGATTTACTTCAAATATCAACATATACCATTACATAGCTTGCATGATGGGTAAGAGAATTGCAAAATCTCTTTTTGAGGATTTTTGGTGAGGATGGGAAGGGGGAGGTTTAAGTTTGCTGCAATGTTGGAAACAAGTTCTGGAAACTGAAATAATACCCCACTACATTACTCTTATTTCCTTTATGCAGGCAATGCTTATAGTACATGACACTGTAGCACAGAAGAACTTTGACCCTGTCCTTCCACCTCTACCTGATAACTTTGATGATGATTTTGATGAGGAATCGGTGAAAATTGTTCGGCTAGTGAAAAATAAAGAACCTTTGGTATATATAAGATAACCCAGTCCTAGTCATAAAACTCTGTAATAGAAAAGCATTGTTGTGAGTATGGAGGAGATACTTGATGATGTCAAATAGTCTGAGGAAACTAGGAGTGTTCTGAAGCTAATACGGTAATGTAAAAAGAGAACTTTGGTGGATACACCTTCACAATTTTTCATCAGATGCTTTACAGACAATGGTTAATAACACCAGCTAATGTGGGGGACAAGATCTCTGAGGAAGCTGTGTATGCTGAAGCAGTTATGCTTATAACACGTTAATTCTTTCCATGTTGTAGCTAACATTGAATGAATAACTTCATCTGCATGAAAGTCAGTGACCTATGATAAAAGTATGTTTGAGAGCTGATAAACATTATATTGACAAGGGACTAAATTTATATAAATGAAAATGGAAGAATTTATCTCCTAAGAAAAACTTCTTTCTGGGAAGAAATCTGCTGACGTGATTTTTTTTTTTTTTTTTTTGTGTAAGAGAAGTAATAGAAGAAGACAGTGACTTAATTCCTGGTTAAAGCTTTATATTGCTAGTAGAGGTAGGAGAAATTAAAAAAAATAACTTGGCTTTTCTGGGCTTTATATGTAAAAGCACTGGCTGTATTGTCTAAAGATTCAGAAGACACAGAAAGCTTCTTGTAGGAAATTGTTTTGCACACTTGAGTAATTGTGATCACCATAATAATGCAGGTAGTGCAAGCACTCGGTAAAGTCCACAGAAAGGAAGCTGTACGTGCCATCCCACAAACACCTGACGTGGGTATAGGCAAACATTGAATAATGGTGAAAGTTCTCAAGGAATAAGACAAAATTTATAAAAAAATTAATTTCAGTTTAAAAAGACATATTGGCTTACATATTTCACTGCTCACTGTATCCTAAGCAAGGTTCTTATGATGGTTTCTTTGGGGGGGGGGTGGTATGTGGGTTATGTTTTATTTCAGGGAGCTACCATCAGAAGAGATGAGCACACGGGAGCTGTAATTGTAGCAAGGATCATGAGAGGTGGTGCAGCTGATCGCAGTGGTAAATTTCTGAAGAAAAAGGCATTTAAAAGTGCATTTGTAAACTTGTTAAGTTTCCAAAATTATGCACTCGCACATATACTCCATATGCATACCTAGAGCAGTGATCTCTTAACTAAAACTGGTTTAACAAAAACCAGTCTTTTGGACATGGGTGTTTAATATATGTATAGACTGTTACACAAGAAAAAAGATAACAGCCTATTGTAATCTTAATAGGCAACTGTTAGATGTCAAGCTGGAGCTAGTATGTTAGGCTCTCTGTGTAGTCAGTGGAGGGAGAAGAACATTGCTGGAGAAAAATCATCCCAATGAGTTTTAGAAGGGGATAGGTCAGTGCTGGAATTACCCTTCTTTCTTATTGACTATAAAGGGAGCCTACATTCTATGCTCAGTTGACAACTGAATTTCTGGTGTCCTGTGGCAGGAGAGACTTTTCTGTGTAAACTGTCATTCAGTATGCTTTTTATAGACTCCAGGCTTCATGCACTTTCTTTAATATACAAGTAATGCAATCCCAAAATTAATAAATTGCTGTGATGAAAAAATATTACCAAATTACAGCTTCTTTCTTTCTTATTATTCTTCAGATAAGTGTGATCTGATAAATGGCATGTGAAATGACTAGAGCATGTGTTTATCATTTCTGTATTTCATCAATCTATTTAATTAGGTATGTTTTTCTCTAAAATAGCCTCTAGGGGAAAAAAAAATGCCAACAGAGATGGGAGAAGTAAGTCTAAGCTTTAGAAGAAAGAAAATTGTTTTTTGCTTTTAATCTAGTATGTTGGTTGGTTCAGTGTATCATGTGTTGTTTTCTTTTTACATTTATATCTGTTAAGAGTAGTTAGGTAACACGTTGCAATGTTTCTTAGTGACCTGGGTAAACCTAAAACTTAATGAGGACCTCTTCATGGCTTGTTTAAAAAAAATAGTCTAACATTCTTTCTGGGAGTGTGTAGTGTTGATCTGTCAGTTGATGGCCATGTCATTCCTGCCTTTATAATCAGCAGTGTGTCTTCTAGCTCTACAAGGTTTGATCATCCTCACGAAACTACTCCTGTTCTGTATTCTTGGTGCTGATCAAAATAGAGGCAGTGATTTTCCAGAGTATCTTGCCATGTGTTCTTGACCTCCATGCTGGTGTCCTATGAGGCTGTGCTGTATATGC